ACTGAGGACCCCATTGGTTATGAAGCCTTGGATATTGGTAGTATCTCCCCGTTGGTGGTTAGGCCGGATAAAGGAACACCGCCTATGTCACCAAGCAAGTCGAACAACTTCTTCAGTAAGCTCGTGGATTTATCCCAGAGAAGTGATACTCCTATGAGTACTGAAAGTGGAAAAGATGCTCAGACCGGCGACACCCAGGACAAGGTGGGTGATATTCAAAGTCAGATCGATGAGATCAAGTCCAATTTGAGTCGTTTGACTACGATGGTTGAGGAGGTTCTCCAAGACCGTGGCTCTCGTCATTGGGTACGTGAAGACTATCGTGGACGTCCCTATAAGAAGAGCTGGAGTAAAAGCTATGGCTCTGATGACGGTTGGCATAAGAAGGGTGATGATGGTTGGAATAAGCGCTACTCGAGTGGTAGCTCTGGCAGTCGTTGGTAAACTTTGCTGTGTGAGGTTTAAGTACTTTTGTCTGGATAGTTGGTGTCATGAGCCCCACCATGATCAGACTCGTAAGTAGAATTGTTACCTCTATTAATGTTATTGTACTTCCGCCACTGTAATTGAGTAGCTTACTGTTTAAGTACACTCGTAGGTGGGTCTGTACACAATTACATTGCCGTTGCGGGGTGTGTTGTGAGCAAACTGAGCACTTGATTTTAGGGCGTGCGCGGTAGTGTTTGCTCTGTGTGATCGTAGACATTCAAGCTAAGTAAGCTCTCACCTCATACCAAGAGTATCGCAACGTTTCTATTCCGATAAACTCTGTTTAAAGGTGTACAACGCGAGTGATCTCGCCACGCGAGGCACATGCGTGTATTTCCCGTTTCACGTGACGTGAACCCGGATAGGACTACTTGTCTAGCCCTAGATTGTATGCTCTAGCCTAGACTCTAGGTTCCCTGTGAGCCTGACAGAGTCCGCCAGGTGGACTATGGGCCCTCAGAACTTCTGGGCTAGAAGAATTGCTTCTTTGACCCGCCCATTCCTTTCCGGATAGAGGGTGAGCCTTCGTGTTGCATCCTCTTCGTCTCCCCTCAGTCTACGGAGCTCCTTTGCTTGCGTCGACGGTTTAATACGCGAGTTAGCGAGATTATGGTCAGAGATTGAACGTAGTGTCACGCCACGTCATATGAAACGAATGAAACCCCATTGCTCCATGATCGCTCCCTGAAAATGTCACTTTACATCGAGGAATATCTCCTTCACGTAGGCTATGTTTCCAGAATACGGCCCGCCACGATAGATTAAATGGCCTGAACGTTGCTACGGTCCTCTGGGAAGCGGTTATCAAGGAATTCCCAACCTACGGCCGCAAGGAGGAGTATCGAGTTCTTTTCAGCACCACGAGGTTCCGACACTCCACCGAGAATGTACGCTCGAATTTGACATCGAAACCGACATCAATCGCGTTGAGACGGCGATGGTGCAACCCAACCTTGAAGATCCCCAACAGCCAACATTAGTAACAACCCTCCTCGGAAGCCCATATATGACCCATCGCTTCTGGCGAGTTGATTGAATCAGCGCACCAGATCTACAATCATGCATGATAATTGCCCTGTATATAATATACACCGTATATTATACAGTATATTGGCCCATCATACTATTGATACAGTAAGCCTCACTGAGTAAGATTCAG